ATGCACTTGTGTGACTATGACGGAGATTGATTTCTTTCGAGGAGCGTTATTGGTTGAAAACACACATATCCTCGAAGTGTCGTGTAAAATAACAAACTGTTTCAGTCCCTCTGACTACGCCTTTGACCATCCACTGAACGCATTGTTCTTCGCCAGGTAATGCTCGTATCTGTTGACGCTCAGGCATTGCGGCACAGTATGGCTTCAGGCGGTTTTACTACTGCCACCTAGTGAGCAGATATATAACTATAGTATAGCTAAACGGAGGGCATGCAGACTACATAAAAGCACGAGCTAGGGAATGTTACATAAGCTTGGCGGTGAATTGCGTTGGGCTTTCCGCTTTGATGTCAATTTTCCAAATATCTGCACTGGTGGTTACCGAAAATATCCAGCATACATCGTTCGGTTACAGCTTTAGCAAGCGAACGGGCCAATTCGACTCCATCCATCCACATTGAAAGTTGCATCTCTAGCAGCAGCAGGCCTGTCTCACTAACTCCAGACGTGAACTTGTGAATCTGCAACCATGCCCGGCCGGTTTGTGACTAGCTAAATTTTATCACGACCTCCGCACCATGCCGTCTGGTAATAGCGGACCAGCCCCACCCTATGCCCCGGCCCGCAGCGGCAGCTCGGGTCGCGGAGGGCGGATAACCAACACAGCAGCTCTGCCATCAGTGCACTGGTGGGGCTGCGGCGGCTCCAGTCGCCCCGCCGCCGCGCAGGCGGAGGGCGGCAGGCGGCACCACGGCGGGCGGAGCCTGAACCCTATCGCGCCCGATCGCGACCGGCGCGGCGCGGGGCGCCCTCTGTGCGACCACGGCGCGGCGCGGCCCGCACGGCAGCTCACCGTCGCGACACCAGACGACGTAAGCGCCAAGGCGGCGGAAGCGTCGCGACAGCGCGAAACAGACAGAGTGAATGGATGTTGGCGGTTGATGGGCACGGGTTTATAGGAGAGTTGGGACGTAAAATTGACTGCAGGGGTGAGGTAGTTTGGGAGTTCACAGAACACGCTGGTTTTTAGAGCTGTTCCCCACAGTGAAGTCACTATTTTACATGGTGGAGTGAACTCGACAAGATATGAAGCTTTACGGTAGAAGTATTATGCCCCGTAAGAACTCAGTTCGTTCGGTAATAAAAGTATTGGCTGAAACCGTAACACCGTATTAACCATATGAAGACAATCCGCTGAAGCCTGTCAGGCCTGGACGCACGTAGACGATACCACTGCTGAATCTAGCGCAGCTCTAACTGTGACCCTATATAAGGACAGCTATCCGGTGCGGCAAAAGACTACTTTCTGACGTGACCGTTGATAGATCGCACCTGACGACTCCATTATACTTGAGACGATTATCGCTCTTTGTCGCTCGGTGGTGGCCAGCACGACCGAAGATAGCGGCACAAAATTTCACCGGACCGAGTCGAAGGCCAAAGAACCGACACTGTCAGCTGTCATTCTAAGAGCCGGGAGAGCTAGTTTTCTAACCACAAATTCCTGTCCGGTTAAGCGTCAGTCTTTGTGTAGGACTTGCCGGCAAAAAATGCGATTCAATCTAATGTAGTGGTGAATCATTTTAAGTATAGAAATGCGAATAGGAGTGTTTGTGTTAATGCAGCTGAAAATTGTTCAGCTGATAAGTGGCCTAGCAAACTTGCTATTTCGATTGAGCATCAGTAAAGCACACAATGTCTCGGACAAGCAGCAATTCTTTAGCCAGTTTCAAGTTATAAACTTCCGTCTACGACACCTGGTTTATTGCCGGTGAAGACGATTGATAAACACGGTTTATTTTGACACGGCCAATGTTACTTCTGACAACAAAAGTGCCGCTACTCATCAACCAAGTCTTACGACGGGTTGAATGCCGGAGCGATGTTATTGTTTCTCTCATCCCATAATTATTGTCGGGATTGAGCCGTCGACCGGCGCCGGACGATCAGACTATGATTGATCTGACGTCAGTAGAAGCAGATGATATATTCCCACAGCTGACAAAGCACTAAGAAAGACTTATGACGTCCTAGGGAGACAGGGCCCATAGAGATATAACTGGGATGACAAACTGTCTGTCCATGCCACCGGGATTGTGAAAGGTGCTACTCTTTAGATATTTTCCCAACAACTACTCGAGCGCGCTATTTGATCGTGGCCTGAAAACGATATCAAATGTAAACAGTAGCATTCTGAACTGGAGTTCACAAACATTGCTTAATGCTCCTGAGTCCTGTGAAATAATAACCCTCTTCCCTGAAGGCGCATGTTTCCATATCACATGCACGTCACAATAACAGCCAGGCTATCTCTAGACTGATGACGACGATGAGCGCCTCCCTTCAAAGCCGTTCAGGACTGATGTGTCTATAATTTCTGGCATATCACCACGGCCTCTGTCGCGTCCCGTTAACGACGTCCACCATTGGTGCTGGCGGCCCTCGTCACTGACTCGAACAGAACACCGACTCATCACGGTTGGCTAGCGGTCGGCCTGGCTGTGTGTTTATCATTAGAACTCGTGTGGCGGCGACAGTGTCGCCAGTTCCCTCACAAACGCCGTCAACAGTCCTCCAACACGGGATCGAACGTGGTGCGCTGTCCTCGGCTCGGCGCCCGTTACTGAATCGCCTGTTTACTCGACAGTGCAGTTCCATCATTGAGAAGCTCCCACTCGGAGAATGACCCGTCTCCCGCCGAGTCCAGTGCAGAGCAAACACAGCGGGCCGGCTCGGGCCGCTGAGGGGGCACTCTGTCACAGTCAGCGGCGAATTATCGACTCCGGCGGCCGATATCACCCATCAGTAGAACAGAAAGACGGAGCAAACACGGGCTGCGCCGATACGCGCCGCGAATGTCACCATCGCGCCATGCGCCGCAATTACAGAGCGCGGCGAACGCGGCGGGGGTGGTGCAAACAGTGGCGCAGCCGGCAGTGGTGACGGTCGGTCGACAGGGGTGGTTTAACGGCAATTTACGGACGCTATGGGTCTGATTAGGCTACGTACCCAAGCACACACCCATGGTTTAATGATGGGGGCACGCTATCATGGGAGGGAAGAAAGGTAAATGGTGGGCATTGATGCGCGGTGAACTATGTGAGTGTAAAGTTGGGAGTGCTCAATCAATGGCTCTACATACCCTGAAAACTACTGCTTGTTTTGCTCGATGTCATTGCAAAGCGCGTTGACAGTGCCACATTTCATACAGTGCTCAATGTCCGATCCATTTGAAAACGCCGACATTATTTTTGCTCAGCTTATTGGCCATTCATTCGTTTTTGATGAACGTCATAACGGTTTAGACTAAACAATACGCTCCGGAAAGTTGTAGCATGTAAACCCGAGACAGTAACCAAAACCTACCTTTCCTGAAAGCCGCCAACGTTAGGAATGTCGAAGGGCCATCATTTCGCTTTTCCAATGTGTTATATAAGCAAGAAATAACTGCCGTTTCCTTTTGGTGGTAAATTTTTGATAAGTGGGCAAAAGCGACACGGCGTTAATAACGGATTTCTAAAAGTGAGCAACGATGTCGACTTATGACCAAGGCCTTCAAGCAAGCCTCCAGGCTCCAGCTTCCCCTCCCCCAGGCCCCACCCCATCCCAGGCATGATCAGCTGACCGGCTGAGCTTTTCACCACCCCCGCCTGCCGTGTCTGAGTGTCCAGACTGCAGCCACAGAGGGCAGTGGACAGACCCACCAGCGGCCGTCTTCGTCTGGCCCTGGCTCCTACGATCGACATTCCCCAGTCACTAACGACTAGAGGATCCGAGTGGCCGCCGCCACCGGCGCCGCCAGTCCCAGCCGCCTGTTTACATTTTTGTCGGCGGCTGTAGCACCAATTAAACCGATGGACGCATCTGGTCGGCGTCGACACGCGCCGGCCTCCTCGGCCCGGATTTAATCACCGATTATTTCATTAGGCGGCAGCCGATCCGGCCGGCCGATTACTCATCAGAAGCATTGGAAACCGGGCCCGCGGTGGCCGCGCCGCGGGGGGTCCGCCGGTGACGTCAGGCACCCCAGGCCTCGGCTGGGTCACCGCCGTCAGCCGCGAAAGACACGAATATCACTTGCTGGCTGCTGAATTCAAGGATGCCAAGACGGCCGTGGTTGTTTCAGGGGTAGGATTCCCCGAACAAAGTTAAAACAGAGCGGTTTTGTTCGCCTGAATGAGCGGCGATGGACGGATACTTCAGATGTAACTGATGTGCTGGAGTGACGACAAGTGACTCATTCTCCCTCCATGACCCCAACGACCCCGCAATCACCGCTGTTCCCGGCGCAACTGACGCTCTGCGGGGCTGCGTCAGCGCTCATTTGGCGGCGTCCGGCGGCTGACCGACCTCCGGCCAGACCTGTACCCGCAGGCGCGCCCGTTTGATGACGAGTTCGACCCGTGTCGGCACGATCCCGCGCCGCTCGCTTGGCCCGCGTCTGGTCTCTCTGCCAAACGGCGTCCAGGCTCGCGTCTTCGCGAAATTCGGCCCAGTCGTCTCCTCAACGAGCCGCTCATTCCGCGCGGGCTGGGTACAAAGAAATCCGCCCCCTCGTGCCGGCTCACTGCTCCGGTAATGTCCGACGCTGGCCCGGTTTTAGATCGCGCCGAGACAGACTGGGGCGGCTATCTTGCGGCGGCCGTCTCGCATCTGCGCGGTGACATTCGATCATATCATCACGGCCAAACCGGACTCGATGCTGAGTGACACCTCCGCGATCAGTTGAGACCCATTCTGCTGCGATCTAGGCGTGAATGCTGCTCGGACTCGATACTCATCAACAAGCCAGTCTAGGCAAACTGGGTAGAGCTGATATAGATGGAACACGGTCTCCCAGTGGTATCAGATCGGTTTGCTTTATGCACTTGGCGTGAGTTATGCTCCCTTTGTCTCTAATGTTTGAGCAGCGGTGGAACGTAACCACCAAACCCACGAAACGAATCCCTTCCCCATGCGTCCCAAGCACCCCATGCCGGTCCTCCTCCCCAAGAACTGACCTCGTTTGGGGATGACGGCCTTGAGCAGACTGACGGCGGCATCATCAACCGCCCAGGCGTGCATCTTCCGGTAGCTGTCGCGTCCCTTCTCAGTGAGCTTCTCCCAGGTCTTGGGCTTGCTGAGGAGCTCGCTGACCGTGCCCTGCGACAGGCCGAGGATGTAGCGCGCGAACATCCTCTGACCGATGTTGTTGACGCTGAGCAGTTCGCGCACACGCCGCGAGAGCTGCAGCGTGTCCAGACTCTGGTTGGCGTACTTGTCCATGTTGTAGCGCAACATCTCCTGAAGCCTGGTCTCCATCGGATCCGACTTTGGGATCAGCGGATCGTTCTCGTCGTAGCGGAAGGTCGGAGGCGCGTCCGGAGTCTCGGCCGGACTCGGCTGTCGAGTCGACTCGCTCTCGGGAGTGCCTCGAGCGCGCTCCGGCGGCGACAGCGAGCCGCGACGCTCGCCCGGCGAGCTCGGCGAGCGCGAGGCGAGCGAGACGAGCGCGCCAGTCGCCGACGGTGGGAACGGCGCGAACGGGAAGTGAGGTGTCGGGAGGAATGGCGGTCGACAGCCGGGCGCCGAGCCGCGGAACCCGAGCAGCGACGGCTCCACCAGAGGCGGCCGGGGGTCACCTGTGAACGGACACAGCGACGGTCAGCAAGTTTAGACGGCTTTATCTAGTCAACTCAATCTTGTTCAGTAAAAAATTGTATTTTGTAAGACAGGTCACCTAAAGAATACTCATAGAACGTGAAATCGATGCTAAACCACAAAAGAGAGCAGAGAGACTGATTAGGATAAGTAAAACAAGTGTAATTGAATAATGAGACAGCTGAGACGGCTCTGGAGAGGGGGTTCGATTGTGGGAACTGGAGCGGGCGGAAGGAGAGAGGAAAATGCAGTAGCCCAAGGCGCTCCCAGCGGTCCGAACAAGTTGATATCCCAGCCGCCTTTCGTGGCCTATTTTCAGCTACATTCACCGGGATTTTATCCCGTGATGTTTCAGAGTTCCACAATAATCTTTATTCATATCTTTAGAAGGTGCGCCTAACAACTCGTAGCAAGTGTTTCTGAGTAAAAGTCACATGTTTGAAGCAGACATTTTCAGGTGTCATTCCAAGGTAAGCCATGCAGAACTAACCCGATGTGATATCTTGAACTCGCTCTGATCGCCTTACGAACTAGCGGCGGCTTTGATTGAAGGAAATCCTATGAAATATGGATTACAGAAGCACTTCCTGTAAAAGTGCACCGACTGGTGGGATCCACGTATCAAGAAACGCCATGCTGGCGCGTTCATTGCTCATCTAGCATTAGCAGACGAATTATTCCGCCGGGACTTTCGCCAGATTTGGCGCTTCCAGAGCTCCTGATGGGTTTAATCCAGCGCAAAATGCAAGCGCGCCACGAAAAAAGAATGCCCAGGAAACCATCCAAACATTTATAATCTGCTCAATTTGTGAACGTGTTGCTAAGTCCGGTGCGGAATGCAGTATGACGGATAAAATAACGAGAATCTGATTTTAGGTGCAGTTCAGACGAACATACCTATTTCCTAGAATGGTGTAATTGAACCATTCATATTTTACTTAAGCTTTATGTAAGCTCTTAACCCGCGCACCGACGGGGGTCTGCGCCAACTTAGTACCGACGGGGGGGGCGGATGACCGCCCCCCCCCTGAGATCTCGAGAACGAAGCAAGATAGCGACAAGCGGTAAACGGCATCGGATACGCACGGTCAAGATCTACAATTTTTACTGAGGTCATTTTCAGGTCAGGTCAAAGTTGACGTCACAGGGGTCGAAAAAGTCAAAATGGCGGCGCTAAATATGGAGAGAGTTTTTCTCGAATAACTTTCGAATTAGTCAAGATAGGAACAAACTAAGGGCATCATCGTGATCCTCTCGTCAATCCGCATCGAATGATATATATGTTGACCTCGAAAGGTCAAGGTCAAAGGTTGACCTCAGGTCACGTGACCTCGAGGTCATCATGTATATCATTCGAAGCGTCTTGACGGGCTGAACACAATGAGACCATCCACGCGTCTGTATCTTGTTCCTGTACGGAGTTATTGGCCAAAAACCTTTGGTGACCTTTGATGACGTCACATGACCTCACAGCTGCCCAACAGCAAAACAGACCTCAAGGTAGTGAAGGTTGATCGTATATGAAGTCATGTATGGTATATGGGGCCATTCCGACCCGTTTTAGTGGTAAAAACAGGGAGTTGATTTTCACTGGCGGTCGCAGGGGGGGCCACGGGGGCCATGGCCCCCCCTTTGGTGCTGAAAGGTGGGGCCATACTATCTTTTGGCCCCACCTTTCAGATCGAACAAAAGTCCTAGAAAAGCTTTTCGTATGTTTCATTTTCTTTCTTGCGCCATCAAAGGACGTAAATTTCACTCATGAGTGGGCTCAGTTTCGCATTCTGTCAATTTGGCGGTCAGCGTCGCTGGCACCGGTTCACGAGTATGGCCGGATCTTATATGGAATATCAGCGTGGGTTTACTTGAGGCTCTCGTAGGCCCAGCATTCAGCAATGGCTGGCATGAGACCCTCTTCGGCAGTGGCGGGTGGGCCCTGCTAAAGGAGATTGGCTCCAAGACACTAAAGTAAGACCTCATGGGTTGGTGCTGTGCACCTCAGAAGCCCGGTGGTGACGCCGTATGCCGGCTTGGTTTCTTAAGGATTAGCGTGGGACCTCCGGGGCCTGCATAATAGAGTTTGCATGAGCTGAGCTAGTATGTAATCTCAGAGGCATGTGTGTAATGTGTACACAGTGGCGGTCGCGGGGGGCCGGGGGGGGGGGGGCATCAGGGTCATGCCCCCAAAGGTCAATAAAGGGGGCCATCATATCATTTGTCCCCCCCCCCTCAAACAACCAATGGGCCCCCATATAGGTGTATGGGGCCCTGGCAATCATTCACGAGGCTAAAAAACCACGCCCAGCTACCCACACTGGTCTTTGAACGTCCTACACTGGCCTCTGAAGTCTGAGGGAACTTCAGTGGCGGTCAAGCGCCCACGTTGACCGGTAAGAGCCCACATCAACCTCTGAGGCCCCATATCTGGCCTATGAGGCCCCTAACCGGCCTCAGGGGTCCCAACCGGCGTCTGAGGGTCTCACACCGGTCTCTGGTGGCCTTATTTCTGTCTCTGGTGTCCCAAGACGAACCTTTAGGTGCCAATAAGGGCCCCGCACTGGCTGCTGAAGACCCGATGCCGGCCTCTAAGGGTCTGCATTGGCCTCTGAGTAGGGCCCATCTTGGCCTTTGAGGGCCCTCTGCTGGCCTCTGGGGTCCAACGACGGCTCATGCCGGTCTTTTAGGGCCCCACGCTGACCTCTAAGGGCCCATGTTGGCCTGTAATGAGTAAGGACCCACATTAGCCTCTGAGAGCCCAACTCGGTCTCTGATGGTCTCAAACTACTGGCCTTTGTAGTTTGCAGGCCCTGTACTGGTCTCTGAGGGCCCTAAACTAGCCTCTACATGAAAACATACATGGGTGGATTTCTGAAGATCAGAGGGCTCACGCAGTCTCCGGCACAGCCTTACGTTGGTCCTGATAGAGATTGCTTTACGTCCTGATGGTCCCGCGCTGATTCCCTCATATTTCGACGTCGGGACCCCATGAGCCGGTGTGGGTCCTGGGGCTGGCAGAGACTGATGAAGTCCTTAGGGCTCAGGGCCAGTCTTTTTAGCAGTAGGACTAGGCAGGTTGAGTGAGCCTCAACAGAGCCGTTGCGAAGCCCCGCAGGAGTCGCGCGCGGCCCTCAGATGCCAATTCTGAAAGCTCGGAACCTGTGGGGGTCTCCAGAGGTCGGTGTACCTACTCTCTCCCGCCGCCACACAACTAGGTACCTATATGGGTAAATGTCATAGTCTAAAAATGCTCTCTGGGTTTCACATGCTTGTTCAAAGCAAGAGGTATCTGTACTTTTTAGCAAGAGGTATCTGTACTTTTCCGAATTGTTTTATAGTGGTAAGGTCATAATTCCGCGTGCCTGACCTTCCATTATACCTATGCTTCACCGATCCGTCGTCATGGTGCAGCGGCCCGACCGGTGGGCACACCGTGAGACGGTAAATGGAACTGGTGATTTTGCCTTAAATTGAGCTCAAAGATTTCACGCAAGAATGAGATGGATGAAGCATAAGTAATGCCAACTGTGCGGCGCCTCGTGGACGTAAAAAAATTAGCCGATCACCCCTCCCCCTCTCGGTGACGGATAAATGTTATTGTCCCGCGAGTGTGACTTTGGCCCCCCCTTTTGCTAGCGGCTGCGACCGCCAGTGTTGATTTTTCCCCCATTGACTTATAATGGGGAGGTCGCGAAATTGACCTGACCTTAGGTCACGGATATCAAAATTCCGAGATATACAAATTGTAGCTACTAATGACCTAATAACATCCTGCGACTTTCAAAGGCCTCCGACATCTACTGTAGCTCTGGCACGGTGACAAAGTTGCAAAAAAGTGACTTGAGGTTGGGTCATTCAAAGTGACCTGGTGACCTGACCTTGAAAGGTAGGAGGTTCAAACTTGCACACCATGTGTAAAATTGATAAGGGAATAGTCATACCAAATTTCGCGGCGCTACGCGCCGCGGTTTTCCCGCTATTCGCGAAAAACCTCAGGGGGGGGGGGGCGGATATCCGCCCCCCCCCCCCCGTCGGTGCGCGGGTTAATATTCTGGGACGCAACTGTAAATGCAGCTACGATTTTGCCATTGGTTTCACCTTGAAAGCACGACCTTTGAGATATTCCACTGATATCATAGTTCCCCGTACAAATAGTATGACCCACCTTGCAAGAACAATGTTGTAGCTGCTTAAATCTAAATAACTTAGCAATCAGCTCAAATACAGCTTACATTTTCGGAAAATTTCGCCCGCCCGTGATCCTCAACACACTACGACCCACACCAGAGCAACCAAGACCCATCTGTCCGGTATGACCGGCGCATATGTGAAAATCGGACTCAACTGCTGAGTTAAGCCTTTTGCGCTAACCATCTACCGCAGGTCAGATCTGTGGGTTATGAGGTTACGAGGATGCTACATCTGAGGTCATATCGAAGCCATGCCTTAGTAGAAAAGACCAAGACAGGCGGAGCAAGATGGATTTAACTGGATATGTTTGGGAAAATGCGGGGTCAGGTCAAACTAATGAACATATGTGAGGTGCTGTGTGAGTGCTTGGGAAGCTGATTGAAGCTCTAGTGAGCTGCAGGGGCGCTTCTGTAGCCACAGAGAGGCGCGGTACTGACCCAGAGTTGGTGCGACGGCGCTGACGCCGCGAGGCTCCGTCCTCTCGTTCTGCAGTTCCTTCAGCACGTCCAGCGACTTGTCTGCCGGCGGCGAGGGCGGCCCCGTGTCCATCCTCTCCGGCCCGCCGCCGCCCTTCATCGACTTCAGCAGCCTGACAGACAGAGGAGGGAGGAGAGTCACCATGCGCTGCTCGGGGGAGGGGGATATCTATCCATCAAATAACTGTCTGTTAGTCTGGCAGGCAATAGAAAGCGGTGGTATTCCGACTGTTACAAACGATGTTGAACGTAAACGCGACGACTGTCTGGAGTGTGATGTTGACTTTGGGTTTTTATTAACAGCTAACTAAAGTGCAACGGTGACAATTGACAGTTCCATTAAAAGTTAAGCTACTGTAGCAATGTGCCACGCTTCAAAAACCATTACCACGGAAAGTTTATCGTTCAGCGCTATCGCTGTATTCATACGTTCAGCCTCCTCTAATGTACGCCCCACATCTGGCGATCCGGTAAGATATGTTACCAAATTTCCCATACATTGCCTCTCCTATCGCGTTGTGCAACGCCTAAAGCATCTGCCCAGAGCGCCGGCAAAATGTTTTGCAACTGTCACTTGCTAATATACACAAACAGCGCGCGGCCCCGTCCTCAGCAGCGATCTTACGATAAACAGACGCACGCCGCCACTCACACTATGCCCTTCTTGATGTCGTTGTAGTCCTTCTGTTGCTCAATGATGTTCTGCAGGCGCTGGATGGTCTTCTTCTTGGTCTCGAGTTCCTCGAGCAGCTTGGCCCGCTGCTGAGCCGTGTGGTTTTCGACCTGAGCCAGACGGCTCTGGAGACGACGGACGTCCTCCACCAGATCAGAGCTCTGAAAAGTGGGGCGGAGAAGGTCAGAGAGGTTAGACAGTCGGGTCGACGCAGATCTCTGTATGATCGGTCAGGTCAGGCTGAGTCAGAGCCGTGTGTTATGAAACGGAAAAGTAAAGGCCAGGTTAGTCGCGATCAGGTCAAATTGCCGGCAGCACAAGGTCAGGTCAGGTCAAGCAAAATTAAGGCTTTTTACGAGGATCCTACATATTTGTCACACAGCTCAATTAAGCAATTCACGCTTTTCTCAACTTTTAACACATGGAAAGTCAACACTTTTTGGTGAGCTTACGCATCGATGACAGTGCAGTGGTTATTTTATCTACACAATCACTTGGCGGCGGCTCGCGCTCCAGATAACTGGTATACTGTCATACCTCGCAGCCTTTCCAAAATCCCCCGTTCGCCATGTCTGTCAATTTTGGATTCCAGCAGTGAGCCGTTGCCGTCAGCTCTGTATCCGCGGCAGCGGGCTCTGTCGCGTCACAGCCGCTAACGGACGCCCTAATTACGATAAACACGCTGCCCTCAGGCCGGCATTGATAGACCTAGCGCCGCTCAGCAAGGGTTAATCAGCGACCGGGCTGTTTTGTTTTAATTACTGGCTGTCGGAGCGCGATACCGTTTCGGTTAGGTCTGGGAGGCTGATGACGAAATGTGGATGACAGAGTGGATGACATAATCGGGACGGTGTATGACAGTGGATGACTGATTCGGGATGGGGGATAACGGTGGATGACATAATGAGGGAGAGAGATGACGGTAGGTGACATAATCTGGCAGCATATGACATGAATGACGACCGATTCAGCAGAAGATAGTGGATAATAGGCAGTCAATGCTGAAAATGACACTTGACGGGGAATAGTCGGCGCGGCCAAAGTTAGAGCGCTGACAGATGACAGATGTGAAAGATGTCAGTAGATGACACAATCCGTGAACTTGTGAGGACCGTCTCACACCCGTTCCATGATCCAGTGATTTGTAATGAATATTAATCTCTTGCCTCAACACAGTCATGATCATCCAACCACATCCAGCCGCAGCGCCGTCGTCTCTCGCTCACGGCATGGACGCTTCTGTGTGAACAATGACATTCCTGTCATGTGGTCTCTTTGTGTCTGTGATCTATTTTCACAATCGGATGAGTCAGTCCAATCGGACTCATTTATGGAAGCCCCGTGGGGATGCCGAGTCCCGGCAGCTTAGTGTGAGTCAGAAGGCAGGTGCCGCCTCGGCAGCCGCCGCTGGGTAACAGTACCACCTGCTGGGAAAGGTTTAATCCCAGGGGAGGCACAACGCCGCCGAAATCGCATCCCACGTGTAGTTGACCGGCACCGGGGCAGCGAGTAATGAGTATGACAAAGTTCGCCGGCTGGCACGCCACTATTGAATATTTCAATACCTTCAACGGTAGGCATTTCTGTCGAAGGTGACTGCGCACAGATACATGGATCGTCAGCCAGTTCATCGAGTAAGTGGCCTGCTCCCTGACCGAAATATGATGTAGCCAATGGAACCGGGCGCAATCAAAGCCTATCACCTAATGTGGCGCCCACGGGACATTTGGGCCGGACAATAGCGACACACACTCAGCATCAGCGATGAGCAGCAATAGCTTTTATCGCATGACGCACGTTCTTTCAGGTACACCGGGACCGGCCGCAATCACTTTATCAATGAACGAATTGCGGGCCTCGATCGGCGGAGCGGCGCTATTGACTCGCCCCGAGTCTGGTCGCAATGGCTCCCCCGCCGGCCGCCGGCCGGCCGGCGTCGTTTACAACTCGTGGACAGCGCAAGCACCGCCCGACTGCGTCCCGATCTCCCGATTTGTCGGCTCATTGCGCTAAGTGCCCAGGCGATCGGCGGACCGGTGCTCATATTGCAGCTACACCAATGCACGCCGCCAACTGGTTTTACTTTTACGCTAATGCTGGTGACGGGCCCTGATACAAAACGGTCGCGTTGTTCACTGGCGGGGCATCGATTCAATGCCGGGGAATATTTGATAAGAAGTGCATTAGTGAATGAGTGCCTTATCGCTGGCCAGACATGTGCATGCAGCGAGCGTGCCGGCATTGACGGCTTGCAAGACCGACGCAAAAATGACACGCCATTGTCCCTAATTGAGCCATCGCGACGGAGGGTTGCGCCGGCCTGATTTGATCAGTGTTGGCGCCGCGACCAGCCGGCCGGCTGACCGACCGACCAGCCGGCAGACCAGCTCCCTCACAGGGCGCAGGTCACGCGCCGTGACAACGACCCGACATTGTGTTACACGCACTCTGATACACTGCGATACCTATATATGACTTAAATGTTCACACTATTAGCAGGAAGTTCTAACATGAACAAGTGAGCAGGTCCTCGCAAAAAAATGATTTATTTGGTCCAGTTAATAAATGTATTTGTTACGCGGTTTCTGTCGTACAGTGAATTTATTTTTTTTTTATCCGGTCACGCCACCATGTAGCAACAGTTGCAGTACATAGCCATTACTCAATTCGTTCGCATTTTTATCAATCTACTCAGGTTGAAGTAAATGAAATAAGTTATATGTACCCACCACATGGTTTAACCTTTGCACTAAATTCTTCAACAACTTTCAGCTTTTTCAAAGATTCAAATTAACATTTAAATGGAATAGAGGCAATACCAATACCTACCTTTCCGCATAACTGGTTTTACTAAATTTAACCCAACATTAAACATTCACGATCCAGCGTTGTGGCCATTTTTTCACATCGCCTGCTGCCTGGTATGAAATTGCATTTCATCTACAAGATTATATCTCGCATCGATTTTCAAATAGCTGCCGATAACATCTGGCATGTTGTCACTCATATTGTACCTTCATGCACCGACTAATTAATCGAGATCTATTTCGGCATGTACCTATTCTATTCTAATCGAAATGATCTTGAATTATTATGTAATAAACTACCGGAAGAGGGGACGCTCCCCACATGCCAGTCGACACAGGGGTTCGAGGAATGCAGAACGCGGGGATCTTCCTCCAACTTTTGAAATTCCCGCGCCGTGAACGTCAAGCTGCCAGATTGGCGCCAGTCGGGGGCCGAATCTGGTAACCGGAGCGGACCCGTCGGCCGATAGAGACAAGAACGCCGGATGTGACAGCAAAAACGGCATCCACACCGAGACGGCGTCTGTTTACTCCCCCGCCTGTCATCAGATTCAGCTCTCGTTTTTATTATATTCCCAGTTTAATTGCAGAATCGGATGACGCATGTGGCTTCCGCCGGCCGGCTGACCAATCACCGTTCGGCCAGCTCTCGATCAGCCAATGGGCGTCGTCGTCGGCCGGCCGGCCGCGGCCCCGCCGACATGTCGTCTGGTGACATCGGTGCCGTGCTAGTTTACGGCTTTGTCTGCAGGGCTGCCGCGGTGCATGCAGCGGGCCGGCGGCACCGGGCGGCGCGCCGAGACCCTCTGACGAAATCAGAGACTGGCCGGGCGCGGCGCGGCGGAACGGCGAGGGGTGGACTTTTGGTGCGGCTGTTTTATATCGGAAAGCAGTAGTAGTGACAAAAATACGGAAACGCAAAAATTCAATGAGCTTTTTTAACTGAAAATGCCGCGATATACGACGAGCAAAGGAAAGACATGTGAAAAAACACCACACTTAACCCGCGCCCCAGTGGCGGTCTCAGCCAACTTCGCCCTAGTGAGGGGGGGCATATGTTACCACCCACCTTTAACTCAAAAACTAAGAGGGCTAGAAAGAAGCGGTAAAAAGTAGTCGATAGCTCTCAATGCGTACGTTTGAAAGTATTTCGGTCATTTTTCACCTTAGAGCAATATTGGGGTCACCAGAGGTCATCAAAGGTCAAAATTTGCCAATTGTCATGATATTTTTCAGAAAACATGCCGCTATCTCAGGAACTATGATAGCTAGGAAAACGCATGGAACAGCAATCGGTAGCTTTTGAACTTTTCTTTTGAAAAGGTCATTATCAATATTGACCTCAGGTCAACGGTTTAGCCTCCAGAGGGCAAAAACTCCAAAAATAGCCGTTTTTACGAAAAGTGTTTATCGACAATAACTTTCTACTACAAAAAGCCACGACATTTCTATTGCCAGAATCGTGTTTCCCTCGTCGAGACGCGTCGAATGAACTATAATTTGACCTTGAAAGATCAACTTGAAAATTTGACCTCAGGTCAAGGTCATGACCTGACCGGAAAAGGTCATGTTGCATATCAGTCGATGCGTCTCAACAAGACAAACACAATGAAACCATCTCCAGCGTTCTATCTCTTTCCAATCGCGAGTTATTGGCAAAAAACTGTTTGTAGCCTCAAATGACCTCGGATGACCTTTCTAGAGGCTATAAGCAAAAATGACCCCTTGGTCGTCACCAGTGGACTAAATCATTGTGATTCTGAAATATTTGGACTGTTCCTATGCGTACACACGGATCTAGAGGCATTTTCATTTTTCTCCATTGACTTGTAATGGAAAGGTCACGCCACTGACCTGACCTTAGGTCACGGATATAAAAAATCCGAGATATACAAATTGTAGGTGCCCATAACAGCATGCAATCCACCAAGTTTAAAACCTTTCTGACAAACATTGCAGGCTGGACATGATTCCAAACTTTTTTTAGGCTTGGTCAGTTAACTTGACCTGGTGACCTGACCTGACATGACCTGGGGTCAAAAATTTCACACATTGTCCAAAATTGATGTACCAAAAGCTACCCCAAGCGGCGCGGCGCTACGCGCCGCGGTTTTTTATTCACACGCAAAAAACGCGACAGGGTGGTAACATATGCCACCCCCCCCCCCCACTGGGGCGAAGGTTAAATTATAAGGACAACAGTGCAGAACAAACTGCAAGTGGAGGATTTTCGTAAATGAAAAGCGTTACCTGTGTGACGTGTAAAAATAACGTAATTGTTCCATAAACATAGCCATGGATTCCCCTCACCAAGCGCAAGCACGATACACAACGCTAAACATAAAAAACAAATC